TCAGATACCTAAAACCTTGCTATATGTGTTGAAGTCTATTTTTCAGTCGGTAGACTTCGTAATCGACTCGTATAACAGTACGTTAGTCAGAAATATTAAGGCTGCCTTATTTTAACCTGATTCGATATCTTGTCATCGATCTGATGCATTACCTTTTTCTTGGTATTGCCTATTGGATAGTAAAAAGGTTATGGTCTACCAAAATCGATCTTGTATTATTAGAAGAACAGGCAAAAATTATCAACCTACCTGCTGATTTGGGTCAGATTCCAAATAAAATTTCAATTAGAGAAGGGTTTTCTAGCTTTATTGCCGATCAATGAAAGACTTTTATTTTACTATATGTGACTCTATTATTATAGGATCTTTTGGATTTACCAGATAAAGAAATTTTAGTTAATTTTGTTAGAGCTTACTCATTACTTGTATGTTGAATAATTGATAACAATATATTGACTGAAACTCATGTCCGATTGTTACAAGTAGCACTTTTAGTTGAAGAAAACTATGGGCTAGAGTTTATAACACCAAATATACACTTTTCACTTCATATTACTGAATGTTGTTGTGTTTATGATCCTTTATATTCATTCTGGTGTTATTTGTTTGAAAGAATGAATGGAGTTTTAGGTAAGATTTCATATCAATTGTTATTAAATTATTAAATAATTAAATATATGATTAATAATTATTTAATTTTTCTTTATAGAATACCTTTCGAACAGTAAGTGACAAATCGAATTAGAATTTCTACACATTATTGTGCAAAATCAAAGAATAGACGAATTAATTTTAAATCAATTGGATTGTTCAAAACTGGCATAAGCTCTTGAATTGGTAAAGTCTCGTCCAACAGTTAGAAGTTTAGCATCTTATGATGAATTGGATTTTACAGAATCATACTGATTCGTACAAATCTTTTATCATCTTAATGAAACCGTTATCAGTAATGAGCTATTTCTAAGACAAATGCTTTCTCCAAAAAAGAACGCGTGTTTTTACCAGATAATATTTATGAATTATTAGTTCAATATTATAATAATGCATATAATGGGAAGTTTGTAACAATAGCAGGTGCAGTTTCTGAAATATTAACAGAAGATCTCATCATCGTTTTGCTATATGTTAATCAATATAGCCATATTAGGATTGGATCTGAAATCTTTGGAGCAACAATTGCACCCTGATATATGAGGAATTCCCATATATTGGCAAAATTTATACAAAGCGATAAGACGACAGACATATTTTCTGATGAAATATAATACTATTTTGAATATTCACTTGACCTTTCAATAGATACTGTAATGCATCATTTAGCATTTGTAAAATAGCATATACCAGCTTCTGACCAGCAATAAGATTTTATTGTAAATCTAGCGTTAAAGAAAAATTATGTAATATTGAGCTTTGGAAAGATGAATTCTATAAGATTGATAGAGATAGTATCATTCCGGTTCATAATATATATAGTCAATTTGTGCAAGTAAATTTATAGTTAGTGTATGAAAACTGAAAAAAATATGACAGTCATACCAATTAATAGATAATTTCATTTGTAATTTAATTGTATCTTATTAAATAAATTTGTAACAATCGGTTTACTTTAATAAATTAATAAATTT